AGCAGGGGAGAACCTGAAAGAAGTGGAGAAGTTGGAAAAATGACTCATGGCTTCCTGCAGTTGTTTTAATTGTTAATGATAGACCTTTTTTTAAAAAAATGTATATTAACTGTTGAAAGTATTACAGATGTCCATGTCCATGGGTTATGCATATATGCATATAAGTTCTTAGGTTAATCTCTCCTCACACCCCCACCCTCGCCTTCCCTCAGAGATTCCTCAGTCTGTTCCATGCTTCTCTGGATCTATTTTGTTCATCAGTTTATTTTGTTCATTAGATTCCACATATGAGTGAGATCATGTGATACTTGACTTTCTCTGCCTGGCTTCTTTTGTTTAGCATGATTCTCTCCAGGTCCCTCCATGCTGTCGCAAAGGCTAAGAGACCTTTCTTTTTTATAGCTGCATAGTATTAGTGGTGAAGATGTACCACAGCTTTTTTATCCACTCATCTACTGGTGGGCACTTGTGTTGTTTCCAGATCTTAGCTATTGTAAATTGCGTTGCTATGAACATAGGGGTGCATAAATTCTTTCTGATTGGTGTTTCCGGTTTCTTAGGATCTATTCCCAGAAGTGGGATCACTGAGTCAAATGGAAGCTCCATATTTAATTTTTTGAGGAAACTCCATACTGTCATCCGTAGTGGCTGCACCAGTTTGTAGCCATATCAAGAAGATGCTTGATATGATTTCAATCTTCTCGAACTTGTTTTGTGTCTTAACATGTGGTATGATAGAACTTTTTCAAGTCTAGCTAAACACTATGACCTCCTGAAGCTGTTCTTGACCTTCTTTGGAAGGACTGACTTCAGTCTCTGGGCTCTCATGGTTATCCCAGAAATTGTTTCTTTGGCAACTGCTGTACCAGCTCAAGCTTTCCTGGAAACATCCCTTATTTCCTCCCTGGTTCCCCCAGCCCACAAAGGTTTTGAGCCCCATTTATGGAGCTCTGTTCATGGAAGACTGTGCTTCTCAACCCTGGCTGCTCATTAGAATCACCTGGAGATTGTCTTTTGCGATGTCTCCATGCCCAGGTTATATCCCAGGTCAATGGCATTCTCACCTCTGGGGTAGAATTCAGCCATCAGGGTTTTTTAAAATGTCCCAGGGAATTCCAATGTGCAGTCAGGTTGGAGATCCACAGACTACCTCTGACAGTCAGGATTACCTGCCTCGGGACTGCCGCTTGCACACCTGCAAGGTAACAGAGTGCGGAAAGGAAGCATTAGGGTTTTAGTCTATACTATTTGCAATCCCATTCTTTCTAATGTACATACTTTAAAATCAACTTATTGTGGTAGAGCAGTAGTGACAACGATGGTCAGCAGCCCTGGAGCACATGCTGTGGCCGTGCTCTCCTCTAAACACTTTACACAGAATAGTGCTTCGTGCTTAACAATAACCTGATGAGACGGACACTGCTATTATCCCCATTTACAGATGAGAAAACTGAGTGTGGAGAGGTTGAATAACTGGTCCAACATCACACCACTAGAGAGCAGCCATCCCAAGATTCAGACCCAGGCTGACTCTAGCAGCCACCTTATATATTTATTTATTTATTTATTTATTTATTTATTTATTTATTTATTTATTTATTTATTTATATTTTTAATTGAATTTATTGGCGTGGCATTGGTTAATGAACTTATATAGGTATGAGGTATATAATTCTATAATACATCATCTGTATACTCTTTTGTGTGCTCACCACCCCAAGTCAAGTCTCCTTCCATCACCATTTATCCCCCCATGCCCTCTTCTACCTCCCCCCACCCTCTTCCCCTCTGGTTCTAGTGCCACCTTTTATTCACAATGCCAATCTGCTCTCACACAGCACATGTATAATCTATAAACAAAGAAATAATGCAGAAATAAGATACAGATATCAGGGGGACCTGCTCACTATTTTAAAATAATATGTTTTTATTGATTTTTAGAGAGAGAGGAAGGGAAGGGACAGAGAGATAGAAACATCGATAAAAGAGAAACATCAGTCTGCTGTCTCTTGCACTCCTCCCACTGGGGATCAAACCCACAAACAGGAATTGAACTGGCGACCTCCAGGTTCATGGGTTGATACTCAACTACTAAGTCACACCAGCATGGCCTGCTCAACATTTTTTATTGAAAAGATTTCATAATCAAATAATTAAACCATGGTGGCAGACGATGAGTCCTTCAGGCAAATGTCTCACACTTCTTCCTGTTACCCCCACCCAGGAGCTAGCAGGCATCTGGGTCCTAATATATGCTCAATAAATATCTGCCTGCTCCCAGAAGCATCCACTGATTGATAATCATAGAAGACGTGGCACATGTATACAATGGAATGTTACTTGGCCATACAAAATGAACTTTTACCATTTGAGACAACATGGATGGACCTAGAGGGTATTATGCTAAATGAAATAAGTCAGAGAAAGACAAATACCATGTGATTTCACTTATATGTACAATCTAAAAATAAAATAAACAAACAAACAAAACAGAAACAAACTCATAGATACAGAGAACAAACTGATGGTTGCCAAGTGGGAGGGGGTTGGAGGCTGGGTGAAAAAGGTGAAGGGATTAAGGAATACAAACTTGTAGTTACAAAATAGTCGCAGGGATGTAAAGTACAGCATAGGGAATATAGTCAATTATATTGTAATAACTATGTATGGTGTTGGGGGTACTAGATATATCAGGGGGATCACTTTGTAAGTTATATAAATGTCTAACCACTATGCATACACCTGAAACTAATGTAATATTGAACGTCAGCTGTAATTGAAAGATAAAAAAAAATTAAAAACACTAATGTTTACCAACACTTGCTGTGTGCCAGGGACTCTCATACTAATCTTCACCCAATCCTGAGAGGAAAGTGCTATGAATGTACCCATTTGGCAGATGAGGGCACTGAGCAGCTCAGTAGTTTGCTAGAGTCCAGAACCTGAACCCAAACTGTGGGACTGCAGAGCTCATTCTCTCCCACTGGTCACCAGGAACATAGGGAACAAATTATGAAAGTCCGGGGGTGAGGGTGGGATTGCAAAAAGCAGGAAGGAGGCACAGGGTGATCCCTCCTTTGCCAGGTGGTTCTTTGCCGGGAGTACCTTTCCCCATTAGCCTAATAAGCAAACTCCTACTTACCCTTCTGGTGCCAGCTCAAAAGCTGCCTCCTTCAGGAAGCCCTCCCTCCCTCCCACTGCAGTTAGTTGCATCTGCTTTGT